ACATTCTGTGATTCTGTGATATCAAGGTAACGAATAAAGGTTATCTTAAAAAAGTTTTGTGTTACACATCAGAGGAATGCTGAAATGGCCATCTTGAAACACGCATTAACAAGGACTCCAAGTCCAACAGCAGGAAAGCGTTCTTTGCCATACATGAAATCCAGTATTCCTTAAATGAAAGCTGAATTCATTATAAGTTCTGGGTAGTTTTTTGAATGTGTACAGATAGTTACCAGTGATGCCAACAGCAGCAAAATGCGTTCAACAAAGTTTTATTTAGAGTCTCTTCACCTGGTCAGAGAGCCTTTGGACACCTAGAAGACTGTCAAGAATCATGTTGGCTGTGTGCTGCTGAGGAGAGACCTGAGTAACAGGGTTATTCGTGTGGGGAAAAAAGCGTAGAGATGGAAAGCGTGGGAGGGATGAATATGGGAACCTGGATGAATATTTTTCTGTTCCTTGAAAAAGCCTTTGAGCTGTGCCAGAAGCAAGGCAGAGTATTTAAGATCTGCTCTTTTTCACAAGTTACACAGATACAGCCCACGACATAGATGTTCTTATGTATTTTAGGAGGCAGCTTTTATTATCATTTAGTTTAACTGTCTCTCCATGCAAAATAAAGGTACTTGTAAACTAAAATAAAATATTATTTTGGACCTATCTGTATAGGTTTGAATTCAATCTCTTTAAATTATACTGGGAATTTAAAATATGGTCCTAAAAAGAAAGCAGTCAGAAAGGAACAGAGGAAAATAAAAACTGTTTATTTTTTGCAGCAGCTAGGTGGGGGTGGAACTTCAAATTTAATCCAGACCTCTTGCCTGAGTTTGAAACCTCACCAGTGCCCTTTTCCTGGCCTGAGCTCACATTGATTGCTTGTGTCTGTCTATCTGTGGCTGGCTTTCTGGCAGTACTTTCTGCTTTTTATTTCCCTTCTTCAAACCCTGACAATGATATCACTACAGCAGGGCTGTATTGATTAGATTATGTGGGATTTAGTCGAAGACCATAATTAGCATAATTCAATTCCTGTTGTGTTACGTTTGATTGCCCTGAAGCTCAGAAACTGAACATCATAATAAATAAAGTCTCTGCTGATGCATTGTGAGGATAGTGTCACTTGGATAATTCTTCAGGTGATAATTGTTTGGGTTTTTAATTAGCTTTTATTAGCTTTAAAAAATATGCTGGTGGATTATTAAGAGGATCTTGCATACAAAAGTCGTTTCACTACTGCAGGCACAGTTTGTAGTACGCTTTGAACTGTTTTCACCACTGAAAGGAGATTCACCTTTCTGTTCCTGGAGACAGCTGAATTACTCTGCTTACGGAGCTGCTGCATAAAAACAAATCAGTGAAGTTACTTGGGAACACAAAACTTTTCTTCTCTTGTTCCCACTCCAAGGGAAAATAAACTTAAAATCAGAGCAGTTCACTGATTCTATTTATTGAAGGGCAGTAAATCTATGGGGTAAGGCAAGAACGAGCAAAATTAGCTTTGTTGCAAGAGAAAGAGTAGCATATATTTGACCTCCCACCTTTCATTGCTCTTTAATCTGGTGAAAGAAGCTAGGGAAGAAAAAAATTGATTTCCTTGACTACATACTTCAGCTTTTCTGGTTCTCTTGCATTCCAGCTATCTGCAGAGGTCCTCCTGGAAAACAGAGGAACTCTTCTTAGTCAGTTATTTCTATGGTGTGTGCATAGGGGGCACATGTGGCATGGGGAAGAAGGAGAATCACACTTCTCATCAACATTTTATTTTTATATTAATGTTACACTTTTTCCTGCAACAAACAGTGGAAGGCTGTCATTTAATGTGCTGTCTGTGTTAGCTATGTTACTTCCTTTCCCTCCCTGCCCCTCTTAACTGAAAACCAAGATTTCCTTTTCTTTTTTTTCCCCTTAAGGCCCATCATAGGTCCTGCATTACCACCTGGCTTTAGGAAACCTTCGCAAGACACTGGGAATAGCAGATGTTCCATAGGACCATCTGTTTCATCAGAATTCCCTACCCAGGTTTGTGAAAACAGAAGCCTTTTGTTTTAGCACAAGCTATCTGAAATGCTTAAACAAGTAAGATCATGAAGAAGTCTACTAGACATACTTTTCAGCATGACAGTTTAATTTTAGACCAGAAAATGTCTGGCATATTTTTGCCTGAGTCAAATACTGAAGCATAAATAAGCCTTAAAAAAGAAAAAGGCTGATCTGGTTTGTTGTGATTTTCCTGTTAGGCAGGTGATGGACTCACTAAACACAAGGGATCTGGGCATCCTAAACTGCAGTCACAGTAATCTTCCTAATGGCTTTCCATGTTTTCTTTTGGTGTGACATCCTTCACAAGTGAACATCTTGGCAAAGTTCAAATTTTTAAAGACATTAAAGAAGTGATGCAACCTGTTAGAGTTAAAATATTTACCTATCATTCAAGCTTTTACTATTTTGCTGATGGGGGGGCAAAATGATTGAATATTTCATGCGGGAACTCAATCATGGACTCTGCCACACGATCAATATGATCAAGCAAGAAGCCATTTATTTGTTCTAATACAGTTATATTTATACCCCAAAACTAATGAAATCACCCACACCCGTTAACATGTTCTTGGCTCTTCACTCGTAGCCCGAGCAGTTCACGTGCCCCTAATTGGCTGATGGACTTTGCCTGCATCCCTTCCTGTTTGCTTGCCAGGGTACATCTTTTGGATACATTTCAAGGTTCCTTTCTCAGGCCTTGTTGATGCAGGTGCTTCTCATATCTCCAGACATGTATCCCTTCAGTTCCCACAGTTCTCTCAGGGTATGCCAATACACGTTCTCACACTCCCCACAATTTCATATGTGTTCACCTCCTTAAAAATGTTTATTAGTAGATGTGTTGAATAAGTTTATCCAAAAGTTTATCAAAAAATGCAATCAAGAATGATGCTACAGTGTCTCTAATTGTTCTTATCAATAGCAAGATTATAGCTGTAACTGACAGTAAGGCAGAGCAGGACTGCGACACTGACACAATTTTTTGGTCCATGTTTTTTGACTGTTTTCATCAGCTTAGGTAAAAACTTGGTAGAAGTCCTGTAGTCTAATCCCTAGACGCAAAATAGTGCATATACTCCCAAAGAACATTCAGGAATAAAATGTGTGGTAAAATACAATTGCAAGTATGGGGATGATTCAGCTCCCTGAACGTGAGCCTCTGGGACCATTCTGAGGGATCTGAATTGTCTGCAGTGGGCTGGCAGGTAGGGAGCAGCACCTTGGAGAAGCTTGCATCCTTCTTAAGCAGCACCTCTTAAGCCAGACAGCGTGCCCTAAGACAGCAAAAATGGTGCTGGATACCAGTGTTTAGGCAATTGCATCTCGCTCATGCTATGATAAACTAAATATTAATTCCTTGTGAGAAGTAACAGTTCTTCTGTTTATTTCTAAAATACTTCCATTTTTAAGTTTAACTCCCAGACATTGTGGGACATGCTAGGAAGGAGTGAGACAAAGGCTGCTCTGGAACTTCACTTTTTGATTAGTGGTTGCGAAGTGTGTCATTCTCCAGCCTCCTACAGTGAGTGTTGTCATAATCCTTCGTGAAGAATGATTGTCTGACATTTTTAAAATACTCGTCATCTTATAACTCCAAATAACGATCAAGCAATTTATCATAATGACAAATCTCTTGAGGCAGGAATGTCAAAACTGGTCTGCTTATGTATTTTACAAACAAAAAAGTCTCTTTTCTCCTAAATAGATCTTCTAGCATCAGCTTTGTTACAGCTGTTACAGAACTTAGCTTATTTTTTTTCTCTTCCTTATAAAATTGTCTTTTTTTTTTTACATTTGAATATGATGAGTAATTTTTTATTTTGTTTTATTTTATTATTTTGTATTTTAGTACATCTTTAGAAGCAGCCTATTCCATGCTGACTGTTCATTTTATATTGATTTCCCCTTCAGACTCGAAGGTAGTATTATTTAATGTTTGTTTAATTTATCTTTTTGGAGGAAGGTGGTAATGGATTGAATTGAGCTCTAAGACTAATGAGAAAGGAAACGAGACAGACTTCTTCAATTAAAACTCAGCGTGGAGTTTGTCTTTCATCCTCAACTCCTTTACAATAGAATTTATTATGAAAGTTTTGTATCTTTGTATGTTTTGTTTGTACACAGAGAGAGGGAAGAGTTTTACTGTGTTGGTTTCTCATAATGGTTATTCCTCTTCCCCACAAGCTCCTTCTTTAAAAAAAAAAAAAAAAAAGAGAGAATACAGTCACTCCATTCTCTAAAAGCTGAAGCAGTATCACAGTGGTAGGTAATTAGTGAAAGCTTCACTATGTAAATGTTCTTGAAAAAAACAACAAGAGAAATTGGTGTTATCACTTTGCATTGATGGTGTCTGTAAATGACCAGCTATTTCTTACCCTGCTTAGTTTTTCAGATCTAGTTCATACAACTGGTCATACAGACATTAAATTTGCTAAGCCTCTTACTGCACCTTGTGGTCCACAGCTGTATGAAGGTGTGTCTTTTGCTACCTGAAGCTTGCCTTCCCTGCAGTTCATAGCTTTGCTGACTCCTAAAGCCAGACAGGGCCAGCTGGCTTGGAGCAGTGTCATTAAAGCACCCCAGCTTCTGTAGCAAATGGCACACGTAGGAGTCAAGTGGCTTATTTCACACCACCTGTCTTCCTTAGCCCAAATCCCTCTACAGCAGTGGGATGCCAGCTATGAGCAGCCTGAAGTCTTACACTTGATCTCAGTGTAGCAGAATGCCTTTCCTGCTCTCCTCCTCCTTTCACTCGTCCTCCAGTACACATGCTCCTATTAGGTGACTCTTCTAGTGAGGTTCTGTACTTCGTTCTTGTATTCTCCACTGGGTCATCTCTGTCTTGGACATACTATTTTATATAGGAGTCTCCTGATACTATTTTTTTCCACTGCTCGTCACTCTTGAACCCTTATCTTCTCTGATGGTGTCATATCTAGGTTCTAGGATGTCCATCTGGTAACCAAAATTTGACATGACAAAAACAAGCCATTCCCCTCCCACCACATTCTTCATCCTTCATTTGAGACTTCTTTGCCACCACTTTCTGTTCTCAAGTAATGCTCTGTGCTTCCTGAGTATACAGGAAGCACAGAGCTTCTTGTGGTCATCCTACTCCCATTGCTGTGTCGCCCACATTCAGGCTGCAGGTAAATCTTTTCACTGTTGTAGATATCGGGCATCTTATCTTTGCTTCCAGGGCACTGTGGTCTCCACATTTTCTGTCTAGTTCTGCCTCCATCCACATCTGTACTGTTTTAACTTGGAGGGACCTGTGAGCTTTCTGTACAACCCTTGTCACCCACAAAGATTATTATTAACATCTAGTCCCTTTCAGACTTAGTTTTTTGAGCCATTCTGCAAATAATTGTTTAGAATGCAATGTCAAAAGGTACTGAAGAAGTGAATGACAGAATCAAGAGATTAGACTGGCAGATACCTGTACACTAGCTTGCATGTTAATCTTTCTAGCAGAATCTGAGCTTGAGGCAGTTCTCTTTGCAATGTGAAATTGCAGTCCTAATTATGGAGATGCATCCAAATGTTGCTGGTGATGGTAAAGCCCAGAGTATCAAAGATGTGTGCTTGTGTTTCAGATTTATCTATGGCCACAGAGGCTACATGGTTGCGTGTAGAGCAACATAAAGTATCAGGACTTTGTGTATTGCCACTGTGTTTATAGCAGTTTTGCCTCAGACAAAAGATGAGGCTTTTGGAAACACGGAGGCTGAGTGTGCCTGTTAAAATGCTAGAACAGGTCTAAGCTGGAGTTTTCATCCAGGCTTTTGTTGCTTGTTGTCCAACTGGCAGACACATTGCATTAGGTTTACATGCTCTTCTAGACAAAAAACATTCTAATCCTATGAAGCTGAAATGTTTCTTGATGGTCTTCACTGTGGTTGATAGAAATGTTTTATTTTTGGAAGGTAACAGATAGTAGTGAGGAAGAAGACAATCTTATAGGCCCAATGCCTGCAAAAGGACCAGTGGAATCTGATGTGACTAAAGAATTTGAACGCAGAGCTCAGAGAATGAAGGAAAAACTTACTTCAGCAGACAGTGTAAGTTGGATTTCTTAATTTCTAATATTTTGCTGCTGGAGTGTGTTTGTGTTTTTCTTTGCCTATTTCTGTGTGAACCCAGTTGCAGTTCTGCTCAGGATGCTAAGTGTTTGCAATTGTTAAGACAAAGAAAAATCCATTATTTCTGCTGGAAGCTAAGAAAGAGATTCAGAAAGCAATTTTTAATAATGCTTTTTTTACTCTTCTCCCCCACCCCTCCACTTCCCACCCACTATTTCTTTTGTGAAGGATGAACCCAAGCAAATTACCAGGGAATTGTGGATGACAGAGCTTCCACCTGAATTGAAAAGCTTTGGATTTGGCCCAAGAACATTCAAGAGAAGAGCTGATGACAAATCAGGTGATAGATCTATTTGGACAGATACTCCAGCAGACAGAGAGAGAAAAGCCAAGGTGAGCATTTATTCATTCATATACTCCTGCAGACAGTATGTATGTTGTTGATAATCTGTGAGAACAAAGTAAAGATACCCTGAGCTGTTAAATGAAATTTTTTTTCCAGATTTTTCTTTCAAAACTTAGTAATTCAGGCTTAAAGATAAGGGCAAGGAACTAACGATTTTAAGTAACATTGCTATTCATTTATTCCATCGCCCTTCTGCAGTAGTCAGGGACTCTGTCAGCTCATTGAATTTCCAGTTACAGTGTGTCCAGTTTCTTCTTTTATCGAGCTGAGCAAAAGATACCTGCTGGCCTCTGTGGTGGGTGGCCTCTACCTTTCAGATTTAGTTAAAGTCAATATAGATTTCCTTGCTTTTTACTTCAGACATTCTGATTACTATAGTGTGTGATTTGCTTCTACTCATCAGGAAAGAGAAGAGGCAAAAAAGTCAACCAGTAAGGATAATGAAGAAATTGTATTATCTGGGAGAGACAAGAGACTTGTTGAGCAGGTGACTTCATACAATGTAAGTGTAATAGCAAAATACTTCCTCTTTCTGCATTTCCTTTAATTCTTCATTCTTTTCTTCTTTCTAGCAGTTCTTATTTCTAGTGGTGCTGGTTTCCATGGTGATGCCACTACAGTCTTCCCTTTTAGTGCCCAAACCTACTGCTGTTTAAGTCATTAGAGCGTTTGCCATTGACTTCAACAAGAGCGGAATTGGGTCCTCAAGCTGCTGCTGAAAACAATGTGAGAGAACTGGGGTTTCTGTGTATCATCTCAGTTTTAGGTGTTTTCTTTAAATCATCCTCACATCAGGACCTGGTTGCTGGGAGTAGACAACCTTAATTTGAATATTAGCTTGCTTCTCTGAATTACCAACATCCCAAGAATAAAACAGTAGTAAAGATTTAACTTTTAGGGCAAAAGAGCTTTAACCCAAGAGAAGCTCGATGGACTAAGCAGATCAATACATTTAATTACACTGTGTAATTACATTAATTGCTCATTACAACAGCGTTATTACATGAAGTTTTCCTCAATCTCTGCAGAAGCAGGTAATTTTTGCAGACAGATGTTGATTACTAGACATCTCAACTCCATGTCAAATTTTCTCTCATTGTTCTTTCTGCCAGCCCTGTCCACCAGCGTATATGGACTGCTGCCTGCCTCGCAGATGTTCGTTCTAATTCTTCCCTGATTTATGGCCAGAAGTCTTATGGAAGGCACTCTGGTCTCTCGAGAGTATAATTAACTTGAGAATTGCAGCCTTGGCTTATATTGTGTGATTGAAGTTTATCTGACACTTTTAATAATTTATTTCTAGTTCATTAAATCACATGTGTCTCTTGACTTGGAGGCTTACAAATCCGGAGCTATTAGCATACTGTCTTAAATTTCTTCTGTATTAGCTGTTCCTACTGTCATTATGAATATAGTAGAATAATTGTCATTTAAAACTACGAGGTTTGCTCTGTACCATTGCCAGAATAAAATATATATAGGCCTTAACTGTTTCTAAGGTTAACAGAGTTCTCTCAAAAAAAAATTGAGGAAGGCATCTTGTTTAAGAACAATGTTTCTTGGGTTGGTTTGTTGCTTGTTTTGGGATTTTTTTAATAATTTTTTTCTGATTTTCAGGCATTTTGTTTTTCCTTTTAAAGATTTTTTTTTCTCTATTCTTTCCATTTTCTTTCTCCACTGACCTTTATCAAGGATACTTTCGTAGAATAGGAGCTTTAATTCTTAAAAATAGTTTCTTACAGTTAATTCTTTCAGTGTTGATGCCATATACATGTTCTGGTGCAATTCTGTCAACACTGACACAGTTACACCATGAATAAGTATTGCTCATTTTCTGTTTTACATGAGAATAATTTCTTATGTCATATCTGAATTATTATTTGTATGTGTGATGAAGTGTTTGCACATGGAGTGAGGGAAAATTAACCTTGGGAATAAAGATCTCATGTTCCTAGACATGAGAAAGCAGAGCTGCTCATCTTTTACTCTTTCTGAGGAGAGAGTTGGTTTGGACTGGTCTTTTGGCTGATTTGTAAAGGTTTGAGAATCTGAGTAATTGACTACTGAGAGGTACACAAATACACTTGACCTGAGTAAAGGAGGGGCCGAATAGTCTTGTGAGAACTGATCCTGCTCCCATGTGAAATCAGCAAAAGTTTCACCTTGTATTTGGGCTGGATCGTGCTCTTTAATAAATGCAACTAAAGTTCTTGACTTGGTGAAACAACATGCTCTAGTTCAGACCTGTGACTTTGTCCTGTGGGCTTGGAACAGATGATTCAAGTACTGAAAAGTTAAGAGCACACATTAAAAACAGAATAGTGCACGAGAGTAAGACAGAAAGGGTATCTAGCTTGTTCCTGCCCCTCGCAGTGACCAAAACCAGATGCTTAGGGGAAGTGTATAAGAAACTGGGCCTGTACTTTGAGATGCTTCTCTTCACATGTTGTCTTCATTTCTCTCTGCTAATAATGGCAGAGCAACTTTTATGTTTCTTCTGTATTATTTTTATAAATTATCTCCAGTGTCTGCAGAGATTCAGCAACATTATGGGAATCTTTTAACATCAGTGAATTATTAGGATTTTACTCAGTGTAGACAAGGTTACACACGCTTTCTGCTCTGTGTATGCTAAATTTATCATTCTGTTTTCCAGTTACTAAGCTTTCTTCTTTTTCTGGAATTCTTAATTTCCTAATTCCAAATCTTTCCATTTAGATTTTCTGTACATTGTTAATATTTTATAATACTTTATTTCCTCCTCCTTCTTCTCATTTTTCCAGGAGTCAAAGAGGTCAGAATCTCTCATGGATATACATCAGAAAAAGCTAAAGAGCAAAGCGTCTGAAGAAAAGAACAAACCTCAAGAGCGAAGGCCATTTGACCGAGACCAGGATCTCAAAGTCAATCGATTTGATGAAGCACAAAAGAAAGCTCTTATAAGAAAATCCAGAGATCTGAATACTAAATTTGAGCACAGTAAAAGCAATATGTTTTTATAACATAAAAGCATTAAGCTTTTTTGAAGTGAAGTCAATTACATTTTGACTACTTAATTTTTTAAGTATTTTTATGTAAATATTTTTATGCAGAATAAATATCCCGATGTTTAACTATTTTTCCTTGTCTGTAAATACTCTGTTAGGGAGGATCACCTCTACTGAAACTAAACTGGTAAACTGGAAAATCCTGGTATTAAAAAAACAACAAAAAAAAAAAGTAAATTTGCTACTTTAAAACATTGCTGTGTATATATATTTATTTTTGTAAGCATAAAATAATTAATTAAAATAGGTATTATTTTAAGGAGCTTTAGAATTGATCTCGCAATGGAGTTGGCAGTATCCCCCTTTCTTCTGTCATGCTTAGGATATTCTTGCTGAGCCTGACCTGAAGGCCATGGAAACCCCTTCAGGCTTGTGGGCAGGATGGAGTTGACTGGAGTTGACTGAGTACTCCAGTACTCCAGTACTTGACTGGAGTTCCTGCTGGGGAGTGTAAGCTCAAATGGCAGCTTTGGTGTCTGCCCAGCGCTTTTATTTCTGTGATTCTGTGTCTGTACGTAAATACAGGTTTCTATATATGCAGTATAATTTCTGTACTAGAGCGGGAAGAGCTAGTGGTAGCAGAAGTAATAAAACTTCAAGATTTACAGCTTTAATTATAAAATGGAAGTATATAAGAATGGAAAATCTAATTTGAGTTTCAATTTGGAGGGCTTATAATGAGAAAATTAATCTTTTTTTCAGCAAATACAATGTGAAAACCAAACCAAAATAAAGCTTATTTTGTCAGTTAACTTGCAGAGCAGAACAGCTCTTTGGTATCAAAAAGGAAATAAATCTGACATTTAAAAAATCTACATTCCT